CCCAAACCCTATTCTAATTCTTGAGGCCCCCTATGTTAGCCAGGCGCGCGGTGGAGGGCGTGGAGGGCTTGTCGGTCTGCGTCTTCACCGATAAGGCCTGATGAAGCGAAGTGTCAGGCGATATGAAGGTACCGGTTTAGGGTTCTAGGGTTTAGGGTTTAGGGTTTAAGGTTTAGGGTTTAGGGTTTAGGGTTTAGGGTTTAGGGTTTGGGGTTTAGGGTTTAGGGTTTAGGGGGCCCTAAATAATTACCTCTTACAAAAAGGGGCCTTAGAATAATTAGGGTTTAGGGCTCAGGGTTCAGGGCTTAGGGTGATCTAGGGGCCTAAATGATTACCTCTACTATTTTGGGGGTTCCCCATTCTACTTGTAGTATAATAGACCCCAAAACTCCATTCTAGTTATCGAGGCCCCTACATTAAGCTGTCTCTGGCTTAGACTCAAAGGCTCATGGGTACGTATCTAGCGCAATGGGTTTAGGGTTTAGGGTTTAGGGTTTAGGGTTTAGGGTTTAGAGTTTCTAGGTTTGGGAGTTTGGGGTGTGGCGTTTGGGGGTTTGGAGCTTGGGGTAATGTACTACTTTCTTGTGGGGAGTTTTGGAGCTTGCTAAGGGCTCATAGAGATCAAGTTGACAAGGTAAGGCAACAAAAATCCCAGTTCCCTCTGACCCCAAATAAAACAGTACCCTACATGCACACCCCCTCAACCCTGAAGCCTGAAGCCTAAACCCTAAACCCTCCTGAACCTTCAAGCGGGGTTGAGCGTTTTTCGTTTCGGACCTGAAGATGTGGCTTGGGATTTAGAGCCCGGGGTCTGCCAGTTCAGTGGTGATGGATGACCTTGAATCAAGCATAATGCTGAGCCCCTAATGATAGTACAATATACGTAGCATATAGACTAGGAGAGAACAGAATAGAATGCTTGCTTGTCTGATGGAGCTTCCAGCAGGACATTTCTGAAAGACGTGATGTTGTGGAGGAGGTGCTGAAAGAGAGTCTTGGCTTGAGGTGGCCATCGACCTGGATGTCAGTGCAGGTGTTCTATGCTCCACAAGTTTTGTCGTCCTCACCCGGGTAGTTCCGTATACAGTCGTCCCCGTCGAACATGAGCACCTTCAGCCTACAGTCCTGAACACGTCCATGATGGTGGTGATCATGATGATGATGATGATGATGATGATGCCGATGGTGCCGATGAAGATGATGACGACGTTGATGATCGTTGTTCTTCCGCTCATGATTACTACTGTTAGTTTGCATTATACAGTGTGTTTCCGCTAGTCTTCTTCTGTTTTTCGACGACGGCCTCGACAAGGAAGAGGAGGACATCGACCGTTCGAACGGCGGCGACGACTGGGACCGCGGTTACCACCTCTCGCAGTATTGTTGACATTCTGACAAGAAACATTTCTACCAGTAGCACTGCTGTTGTTACTGTTGCCAGAGGAGTTTCGTGACCTCAAAACAAGACATTCTTTCATCAACATTGTTATACCGACTCACTGCCAACTACTGGTTGCTGCTACAGCTACGGCCGCTGTCACCGTTGCTATCCAGATTAGGAGTGCCGGTGTTTCTCTAAAACAGGACTATTGACTATTGACTATTGATGTTGCTATTCGGTTTTTGTTATTGGTAGATGATTTGTATGTATGACTAGGATTGTATACTAGTCGTGATGAATGAGTACCGCAACTCCATCACAAAATCTGATTAGGCTCTGCCCATGGCAACCACTAAGACAGAAGTGTGCGCGTTTTCCACGACTACAAGTATGTTTGCTTGTTGCGAATTGTCCTTAAACCCTAAACCCTAAACCCTAAACCCTGGTCTCATGGCAATCGGTTTTGGTCTTCCTCCGCTTCTCCTAGACTCGCCTCCTAGTCTCCTAAACCCTAAACCCCTAAACCCCTAAACCCCTAAACCCTAAACCCTAAACCCTAAACCCCTAAACCCTAAACCCTAAACCCTAAACCCTAAACCCTAAACCCACTCTAAACCCTATGGCGTCAGACAAAAACCTACGCCCAAAGCTCCCGAATGCCCAAGGACAGACGTGCTGTTTTGCTCGTGCCTTTGGCTCTGATCATGAAGCGCCTGGTTCAGGGTCTTAGCAGTGGGCTTAGGGCCCCAAGCCCTGCACCCGGGGCTGGAGACCGAACCTTAAACCCTAAGCCGAGTTTCTGGTGTCTGGTCGTGGGTTTAGGCTTACGGAAGACTGGGCATGTTGACATGGGGCATTGGAGCAGATCGATGAGCACTGTGAGCACTTGGGGGTTCATGCGTGGTTAGAAGTGGGGTTATAAGTAGGGTAACTTTACTTATAACCCATATCAAGCGACTTATCACCCGCTTATAACCACCCATGAACCTCCAATCAACCTACAACCCAAGCCTGTACTCAAAACACCCGTCCGGATCTCTCTCTACCTTCTGCTGCCGTTCACCTCAACCTTGCACCTTGTAGGGTTTGTTGAGGGATGACTATGGAGGACCTAGGGTTTCGCATGATTGATCCGCAAGCCCGAATCCAGAATCCCTACACTCTGATCCCTAAGTGGAAGCTCCTAACCGAAATTCCTACACCTTGCACCTTGAGCCCGCTCACCACATGCAGAATTGTGGGTTTGCGGCTTAGGGTTTAGTTACCATGGCTTTCAACCGTATTGTATCTACGTTTACGTTCGCAATTTGACCGACTCGGAAACCCATAAAACCCCTTACCTGCAAAACCCCAAACCAAAACCCCAAACCCCAAACACCGAAAAAGAAAAACCCCCTCAAGCCTGCGACCCCAAACCGCAAAGCCCTCAACCCTGAAACCCAAAGTCCCCAAAACCCCAAGCCGTAAAGCCCCAAACCTCAGAACCCCAAGCCGCAAAACCCTCAACCCTAAAACCCTAAAGCCCCAAGCCGTAAAACCCCAACCCTAAAACTCCAATGCCCTACCTTTAAAAGGGCGCGTCTAGTACCCTGCGGCGGCCCTTACAGTATCCTTAAGGAAGGGCCCTTCTAGTATACCCTAAACCCTAAACCCTAAACCCTAAACCCTAAACCCTAAACCCTAAACCCTAAATCCTAACCCCCAAACCCCTAAACCCTAAACCCCTAAGACCTACCGCCAGGTTGGTCTTCGACTTCGACCAGGCTGCGTGGCTGAAGGAGTCTTGCCAAAGCATCGAGGCCAGGCTGGCTCTGCTGGTTTCGGGCTCCTTTAAAAGGGTCCTTTTAAGGACCCCCTAAGGGGGTCCTAGAAGGGCTCTATGATATCGCTAGTTCATACCGTGGCTTCGAAACCTTAGGCCACAAGCACCTAACTCTAAACCTGCAGTCCCCAACCAGCCTTTCCAGCCGGATGCAGCCGCCTCAGCACAATTTCCCAACGATCTTGTGCAGCACAACCCTAAACCCTAAACCGCTACCCTAAACCCTAAACCCTAAACCCTAAACCCCTAAACCCTAAACCCTAAGCCCTAAACCCAAACCCCTTCCTGGTACAGTTGACGACACGACACATGGAACGTCTCCTTGTGTTGCTCACCCTCTACCAGCTGTTCCAACTCCTGATGATGCTCCTGGGGGTGGTGTAGTTGCTGATCCTAATGACGATCGTTTGTGTCCCTTCTGGTATGAGTTCGTCGGGAAGTGAAGCTGCACCCAGCGACAAAGCTGAGATGTGATGCACTCAGAGTTGAAATGTTTTGGGGTTGTGCGAAGATTTTGGTATCCTGTCGTCTCCACCTGTATGCCTTGCTGTGCAGCTTGCGAGGCTGGGAGGTTCTTTTCTGTTCTTTTCTTGTGCAAGCCCAACTTGGGCAGGGAATCAGGCGAGCGAAAGTCCCACTGCACCCTTTAA